CTTTTGTAAAACACGAAACAATTTTCAAGTTTTCTGATGAAAACATCTTCTTGCATGCATATTGTAATTGATAAATAAACAATTAATAAATCGAGAGGTTGATCACTTGATACTTCTCTGTGATACTCACTTTTATCACTATCAATTAAAAGTGTCAAGTAGTTTTTGTTTTAACTAATTACGTAAAAAAAAAAAAAAAAAGAAAAACTCGATGTTATTCGTTTCTCTTTTCACCCATTGCGATTATGCAATGTCTTCCTCCACGACGACGATTCGTCTCGTGAGAAATGACACGTAACGCGGGGTGGCACAAACGTATGATTTGCATTCAAATTATCAACTTTGACTTTTGCCGCCCCTTCCTCCTCCTCCTCCTTCCTTTCTTTCCGCGTCTTCCTTTATTACAGCGTAATACACGGCTAAAACAAAAGGAACGAAACAACAGCATCGCATACGTTCAAAATTGTTTATTCAAATTTATACGATCCGTAATATACGCGCAACAATTGGGCAACAATTTTCCTCTCTCTACTTTCGTCTCTTTCCACTCGTGACTCACCAATTTCACCACTTTGTCCCATCCCAACGTGAGAATTGCGATTTTCCCTTCCCGATTCTCATCGCAATTGCCGAGATCACAAACGGAACTTGACTTTTGAATAAGAATAAGATAAATAATTAGAAAAAGTAATTATTAAATTATAAATTAAACATAATCGAATTTAATTTGAAGAAACGAGGGGAACGAAGCGTAGGGTTAATAAATAAACAAAAGAATCGAGATATATATATATATATATAATTAAATTATCATTAAATTTAATTGGAAGAAACGAGAGGAAGCATAAGGCATTAATAAATGCCTTAAATCTGCAACGAGAGGCAGAGCAAAGAATATCGAAAGAGAGACAAGAGTCACATTAGTCGATCGGAGGCGAGTCTCTCGAGTAGGTTGTCGGAGCCTTCGGGGCAGAATTGCACCATCCGGTGAGTTAGACCCCCTTGGGCGAATCACCGGCCTTATTTACCCTTCTACCGACTCGTGTTGCCGCCGGCCCTCTTGGATCGAGCAACGCGTGTGTCACGTGTCGAAACGGGATACACGCGTATGCATATAACGTAACGAATGCGCGTAAAAGGCGTTGCACGCGCGCGATATTAATTAATCCTCGCGAAAGAATTTTATATTGTATCCTTCGAAACATTTTTTTTCTCTCCCTTTCTAAAAAGAAAGCTCGATTATTAGAGCCGAAGCAGGGCTCGGCCATCGATTTGATCGATGCTTGGATCAGGATGATTAATGAACAGTGTAAAAACTTACTGTATAAATTATATAATTATTGTGATAATCGAACTCGCAGAAATCGGATTCAACATAATTTAACTCTCGTCCATTTGCAAGAGATAAGCCATTTTTCTTTTATATGTACGAAAAATATACGAAACGATCAGAAAGAGAGAAAGAGAGAGAGTTATTTTTCATGAAACGAGAAGAGCGTGGGAACCCTTAAAGCGTTCGATTAATTACTGCATCTTCTATTACCGACTGTGCCCGTTCACTTCTCTATTTACTCGCTAACGTCGCAAAAGTAAACGCAGACAGAGCAAATACTAACCACCGACTGGTGGCCTGCGCCTGAACTAAAGATGGATCGAGCCGAGGAACGCTTCCAAGTATCCGTTAGGCCGATCGTTGTTCCGACGTTGCACGACGTGAAAGGCGAAAGATAAAGAAGAAGAGAGCGAATTAGTAATTGGTTCGCCAGTGAGTGACTCGTTAGCTTCTGCCCCGGTTACAAAAGTGGAAAGAAACTCCTTAAAAATGGGAAAGATTCCTTTTATCGATCGTGTATATATATATATATACATATATGCATTTTTCTTGGCAAATAATTTCGCGAGATAAACTCGTTACGTATTTATTCTCGAGGAAAAAAGTTAATTTTAAAATTACGACAAAATCTTTTCCAATTATATTTCTCTCGTATCAAAGTGAATTTGTTCGAGTCGAATTTATCATTAAGAAGCGAAAGAAATATTTAGAACGCTCTCGGCAAACGAATTGGCAGAATAAACTTGTACATATTCGTTCGATCGATAGCTACCTAAATTTATCATTCTCTTCGAAACATTCGATCGTTATAGTCTCGATTATTGTGCAACGATTATGGGCTCACGGTTAACCGTTCTATTTTAAATTTCTCGTAACAGACAGAGTAGCTGGATGTCAGTCATTGAGAGAGTATGCTCGATCCTCGTTGAATGATTCTTTTTTTCCAAATGTCAATGAATGCGGAGTAAATGTACGACCTCCGTGTCGTTGGACGCTCGTTTCGTGCCTTCCGGCATAAGAGGAAAGAGAGCGAGAGAGAGAGAGAGAGATAGAGATAGATAGATAGAAAGAGAGAGGCAGTCTACGTGAAACGTTTCAGAAAGGAAGACGGGAGATTTCGCGGGTCCGCCACGCTTCCCACGTGTTCGATCCTACGAAGCCTACGCCTAGTCGGCCGATCGTGTTAACACTCGAATTCGATTTTTTTCTCGTTTTACTTTCAATGTTGCTTGAACACTGAACACAAGTGGATGGACTCAGGTTTTTCGATCCCTCCTCCTCGTATAATTAACGAAAGGATAATAGACGCGTGAAATTTGAATCGTGGAATTGTTGATGGTTGTCGGCCGAGAGGCGAGATATTGAAACGAAAGTTGCGTAACATTGGCATTGAGCGGTGAGGAGGAAAATAATGTTCCAAAAGAGAAAATAGGTCGCGTTCAGAAAAGATTTACTTCGTTTAATGGCATATATACGTTGCGATAAAATGTTGCGCGCTCGCTTCATCGGTACTTCACACTTTAATATCTCTACTGTGCTCTGCTGCAACTGTTGCGCGTTCCTCCCCTCCTCCTCCTCCTCTCTCTCTCCCTTCCCCTCGACTGGAGATAATAAATGGCCAAGTAATGTAACTGCGTAGACACTTTTGCATTGTTACACGTACGATATTTGATAGGACGAAATAAATAAAAAAAAGCCTAGTTTTCGAATCTTTCGATCATATTCTCACGTTAATTTGTAACGAATCGAAATCAAATTTCTCGCCTTCGATTTAATCGCTCCGTTTGATTTTCAAAAATTTTTAACAAAATTCGATAGATCGTTCCTGAAAGATCGGTTAAAGATATATGTATAAATTCGGTTTCGGGGCAAAACGAAAAGAACGTAAATCGATCGTAAAACTCGAATAAAAAAAAAAAATCTCCGCTTTCGATTTCAACGATGAATAATTCGCGCGTGCGGGCTTATCGGATCCGACGAATTAATTCTCAATTTGCTAATCGAGCGAAAGAAAAAGAAAGAAGTCGAATTCGAGCGACGAACGATAGCGAGAGCGATGGAAACGATCCGAACTTCGCACGAAACCTCGCATGAGGCATTGACGGTTTTGGTGGCGGTGAATGGAATCCCCTCCCCCTTTCTTTCTCCGTTCCCCTCTTATGTTCGTGATTCTTATGGGACGAGTCGAGAACACGATTACTTTTGTCCATTCAATGAAATCAGATAAACGCGAGGTGGCGAACCATTTATCACGCGAGTAACACTCCCGCAGGAAGGAAAACTCCTTGAGAGAGAAAGAGAGCGCGTAGGCCGGCGAAATTTCGGCAAACTCATTATTCATCCTATGCCTTTGATCGTTTCGAATCAACACGATATTAAAATATTTTACGAAATTGTTTTTAAAAATTTTGGAAAATTTTTTCTTTTTCGACAAGTTTTAGGATATATAGTTTATACAATGCCTGGAAATTATTCGTCAAATTTTCGACTTTTTCTTACCCGTTTTAATTGTCATTTGGGGAAGGGGAGGGGGGGTTAAAAATTTGTTTTTTCATAAAATCGCATATCCGCTTAAGCCTTAAGACTCGTATGTCGAGTGTGGCTCGACATCATATTTCTTACATCAACTTCAATGCCGAGCTAGACTCGACATCATGCATTGTAATTTTTAAAGTAATTTAAAACGTTTAAATCTAATTTTTTTTTTCCCAATACTTTGTAAGAAAGACTGAATTTGTTATATTTTTACACGATTAAAAAATTGCTGCTAGCATATAAGAAAAAAAAAAATAAAAAAGAATTAAGAAGTGCAAAGAGTTAAATTATCGATGTTAACTTGGATAAAATTATCGAGCCATGGCTCTCGAAATATTCTCGAGAAATTCGAAATTCGAGAAAAAGAATATCGTTACGCTTGGAGGCGTGACAATAGATTGAAAATAAAAATTAAGGGCTGCAAATGGTTAAATCGATTAACTTGGAGATTAATTTTTCGTTTTGGATAAAATTATCGAGCCATGGCCTCGAAATATTCTCGAGAAATTCGAAATTCGAGAAAAAGAAATATCGTTACGCTTGACAATTTGTGATTAATTTGACGATGATTATTATCGTTGCAAAAGCAGAAGCGTGAACGGTGTGATACGAAACACGTGACTTACGTGAGCTAAGCTGGCGACCGCGAGGCCAAACGTGAACGCTATGTGTACCACCGTTGGAGGATTGTTTGCGGTCCACGTGATGCAGGATGCACACCCGATCAGCACGAGAAGAAAGGTTCCCAGGGTTTCGGCCAACAGCATCACCAAAAACTCGACCTTCGTCACCTCTTCGAGGCCGACGAAATCTTTCGCGCCTGGACAGAACGAAGAAGAAGAAGAAAAAGAATGGAAATAACGTAGCGTATTATGTTGTCTCTCAATTGCAACATTTTGCTGGTAATTAAACGATACACGCGAAAAGGAGACGCGTTTCACTCCACGTCCATCCATTATTGAAACGTCAAAATTCGTGTGCATTCGCCGAACGTATGAATATATAAATATTCGTCATTGTCGGTGCCGACCATTGTTGTTGTTGTTTTCTTTTCTTTCTTTCTTTCTTTTCCTCGCGAAGAACGTCTTGTATATATATATATATATATATATATATATATATATACACCATGGCTCTCGAAATATTCTCGAGAAATTCGAAATTCGAGAAAAAGAAATATCGTTACGCTTGGAGGCGTGACAATAGATTGAAAATAAAAATTAAGGGCTGCAAATGGTTAAATCGATTAACTTGGAGATTAATTTTTCGTTTTGGATAAAATTATCGAGCCATGGCCCTCGAAATATTCTCGAGAAATTCGAAATTCGAGAAAAAGAAATATCGTTACGCTTGACAATTTGTGATTAATTTGACGATGATTATTATCGTTGCAAAAGCAGAAGCGTGAACGGTGTGATACGAAACACGTGACTTACGTGAGCTAAGCTGGCGACCGCGAGGCCAAACGTGAACGCTATGTGTACCACCGTTGGAGGATTGTTTGCGGTCCACGTGATGCAGGATGCACACCCGATCAGCACGAGAAGAAAGGTTCCCAGGGTTTCGGCCAACAGCATCACCAAAAACTCGACCTTCGTCACCTCTTCGAGGCCGACGAAATCTTTCGCGCCTGGACAGAACGAAGAAGAAGAAGAAAAAGAATGGAAATAACGTAGCGTATTATGTTGTCTCTCAATTGCAACATTTTGCTGGTAATTAAACGATACACGCGAAAAGGAGACGCGTTTCACTCCACGTCCATCCATTATTGAAACGTCAAAATTCGTGTGCATTCGCCGAACGTATGAATATATAAATATTCGTCATTGTCGGTGCCGACCATTGTTGTTGTTGTTTTCTTTTCTTTCTTTCTTTCTTTTCCTCGCGAAGAAACGTCTTGTATATATATATATATATATATATATATATATATATACACGACCTGTTTGTCGGTGCGTCGATCATCGAAATACGGGGTATGAATTTTTAATACGTTGTACCAATGCTGGTGTTTGCCTTTCGTCTCTCTCTTCCTTTCTCCTTTGATTCTTTTTTTGGGGAAAAGAGGGAAGAGCAATAATTATGCAATCCACTAAGAGGATGGACGACGTGGGTGACGCGGATTTGCAAGTGTTCTACAAAAGCAAAGGAGAAAAGATGAAGAGGAGAAGAGGAGAGGTTCGTCTCGATAATGTCGAAATTCTATTTCTGATTATATTATATTACATCGTGGTGACACGATCATTACGTAACGTATATATAGAAAATAATATACAAAAATCTTATATACATTATAATAAGTTAACTTGTTTTTAACTCGAAATTTATGCAAAATGCGACATCGATAAATACGACGATTAGCGCACGATCATGGTGATAACGCGAATAACAACGAACGTGTAATCTTACATATTATAAAAATTAATTAAAAAAAAAAAAGGAAAGGAAGAAATGTCAAAAATCGTATTACGTGACATGATCGAAATGATACGTAAACAAGCAAAGTCAACCAATTGAATCTATCAACTATACATTTCTCTTTTTCACAAGATGGAAAAGGAGAGTAGCTTGGAGAGACCACGTACCTTTCCAACCCTTGCCCATCCTCCTCTCGATATACCAACCCTCGCCTCTCCTCAACAAGCACAAGTTTTCGCGGCAACAAAAATCCTCGGATCTCTCTCTCTGTCTCTCATCTGAAGTCCATCTCCCAATGGTGTCGATCACAAACAATCCTCCCCCCTCCTTTATTTTTTTGCACAAAGGATTTCGAAAGGCGAGAAGACAATGGGCCTTTACGACTTATCGCCCAGCTTCTATCGCTGCGTAACTGGGACCGAACACCAGTGTTTCGAAAAGGAAAAGTGATCGAAAAGATCGTGTAAGAGGAGGAGGAGGAGGAGGAGGAGGAGGAAGATGAAAGAAGAGAATGTGGTGCACACGAACTCGCGATGCTCCACGATACACCACGTGGAGTCTCTCTCTGGGCTATTGAGTCTGTGGAGCGCGAGTTTCGCCTTCATATATCGCTGTTCTCCATCCTGCTCTCCTCCCTCTTCCCCTCCTCGATCGACACGCGGATCCCCCCTTCCCTGCTCGTCGCGCAGCCCCACCAAAAACTCATTCAAAACGTGTCGAGGATTCCTGAGGATCCACGAGAATTCTGGATTCTTCTTCTTCTTGAATCAATTGAATCGGTTTGATATTGCATTTGGAATCGATTCTCTTTTTCTCAACTTTTTCCCAACACCCTCCTTGGGATGGAATGGATCGTGGAATTCGATCGAATTTTTTTCCACTCGTCCATGGATCGGCAATGATTATCGGAACAAATAAAAAAGAAATCCACGATCTCGATAACGTGCACGGTGATAGGTTGAAGAATGGAAAACAAGATTATCGATAGGAAATCGAGCGTTTAATGATAATTGTTCGTTGCTACCAACAGAAAGCAACGAAGGGTATTTATTCACGGTTGGCGTGTTGTTACGTGATACGTGATGCAGTATATACTTATTTTCTATGATTATATCAAAATTCTTTTCATTAATTGAAAATTATCACGATCTCTCTTTTGATCCAATCTCTTTTAAAAGAGATTTCCACTTGTGTTGCTCACTTCTTATCCGAATTTTAATTTAATTGGAACGAGTCGAGGGTATACGAGTTTTGCTTTTTCCAGAGTAGAATTAAAATAAATGATATGAAATATTCGTTTCCCGAAATCTTGAAATCTCGAACGATACGATCTCGAGGAGAAATTTTTTTTTCCTCTTGAATGAATAACCGCTTTGTAACATCATTTAAGTCACATTAGACTTAACTCTGTATCGTTAAATTCGTAATTTTTCACATTTTTTTTTCTTTATTTTTTTACGTATTCAATTTTTCACTGTTCACCAACAGTATTTATAACCGTTTAACAATTCCTCATAAACTCTAATTGTGCGCGACAAGTGTTCGTTATAAAACACATTGTTTCCTATATAATATTCCTTTTAATTCGTTTAAAAGGAGACGCGATCGCGAAAAACCGGGAAAAACATTGAAAACGTTGAAAACATTGGCGGGAAGTTAATGTCGAACAACCGCATTACACATGCAAATCAGGCATCCTCGACGTGACGTTGCAATTGTTCCATAAGAACGTTCCATAGGAAATTCATACGAGATTCATGGAAAAAACACGATTTCTCACCGACCGTGAAAATATAAATTAGCAAGCACGTTTTGTTTTCTTTCTTTCTTTCTTTTTTTGTTCTTACGTCAATGCCAAGCGATCTGTCTCTCTTTTGATTAAAAAAAAAAAAAAAAAAAAAAAGAATTTTCATTTCGAAAGATTTAATCTCGACGAGTTTCGATTTCTTTCTTCTTTTTTGAAATTGCGATCGAATCGTGTCTCAAAAATTTTTTGCTTCTTCTATCTCTCACTCGATCGTGTCTCTTACATAATCCAGTTTTAAACTAGACGAAAGAAAAGGCGATCGAGCAACGTTCACGCAGTTTCGCGAGTAACTGAGTGTTATCAGAATTATCGTTATAACATTCGTCATTGACTTTCAATTCAATCGTCCTATCGAAATTTCCATCCGTTAAAACACGAGATGCAAAAGGATTTCTTAGAATTTCGCAACATTAATTTTCCTTAATTTTTATTAACGAAAAATTTCATCCATAGCGCACGAAAGATTAAAAAAAATATCGGCCAAATTGTTGCCAATAATGCGAGATCCCATCACGTGTGTTTGTTCCGCTGACATCATCGGGTGGAAAACAAGGTGATATCAAGGTAATTACGACATCACGGGTCAACAGTGTGTACGTAAATACGTGTCTAACGAAACGGTATACGTTTTCGTTTCCCACTTTTATCAATGGTTATCTACGCGACCGAGCGTTGTTCCACGCGAGATAAATAATTATGTTGGCCGAATTCTTTCTCAGATTGCAAAAGTGTACCTCATCGCATCGTTACACGTAGTAATTAAACGATATTAATTGGGTCACTTGCGTAGCGTCTCCTGTAAATAGATCCTTCGCGCACCTGCTGCTTCGTTTACATTATTCGATGCCACCAACTTATTCCACGCTAATTCTTTTTTTGATTGATCTTGCCACGCAAGATTTATCTCGTTGCGGTGTATTAATGTAGAAACGTTTTCTTTAATAGTTTAGGAAAATGCAAATTTTCGAGTCGTCGATCTAATTAGGACCGACGGTAGCGTGTATGAAAGCGCAGAAAGGTAGAAAAATATTTAGGTTTTTCGGGCGGTTATTTTAATTAAGTACCTTTAATTGGACTCGTGTACCGTCGGCCTCTGTTAACAAACAGCAGCTAGAACACCTGTGCCTATCTGTCCGCTCGTAGGATCCGTTGGTAACGTAGGTAAGTGAACATGAATGGGCAAGAAAAAGATCTCTCGATATATCTCTGCAGAGTGATCCAAAAGTGTAATAAAATGTATACGATTCGTTCGAGAACACGCGAGCGACAAAACTGTTGAAAAACAGTAACTTAACACGATATAACAATTGAAATTATTATTAATCTTTTTAACGTCGCAAGATAAGTTCGCTATTTAATTGTACGAAATGTCGTACATTTAACATATTACGCTTTCATTCCTGAACCGCGCCTACATCATTATTAATTCGTGGCAACGAAGCATAAGCATAAAATGTCAAAACGTATACGAGAGATACGAGAAACGATTCTCGTTCGTCAGATGTTATCACGCGGCAAGAGAAGAAAGAGCATCGAGCGAGGCATAGCTCGAGCAAAATAACGAATCATGCAAACTAATCATTGAGAATTTGGCCGAGACCGAGCAAGTGATTTCAAAAGTGAGGAGATCTCGTAAAATAGACCGGATCTATTCACGGAGGAAGTCCGTTAAATGTCAAATTTCACGACCCTTGAGCGAACAATGAGCAAACGTGACCCGCGGCGTATTTCGTAAACTCGATGCCCCAGAAAGTAAAAAGGGCCTCGGGGCTGTACTTGTAAATTCGAAGAGCTCGTAGGGTACGAACAAAAACTCATACGGATTGTTTATTATTTGCATTATTAGTCCCCGTAAATCGATACAAAATCCGCGAGAGAAAGGGGCAACATGAAGTTAAATTTATTATAAGAATACTAATTGAATTTGTTCGGATAACAAAGTTCATTCATGTTCTGTATTTATAAATAAAGGAATTACTAGTGAAATTGTTGAACAGAAGAGAATATTACTGGTGTAATTTGAAAATGTAATGTACATTACGCAAAATGTGTAATTTATACATTAAATAATTGCTACATCAATCGATACCGCTGCACCGATGATGAATAAATAAGGTTTGGATAATTGATACTGTATTTTCTACAATTTTCTGAACCTTTTATGGTTAGATTTCATTACATGCATTGTGAGCGATCCCTATGAACGAAATATCATTAGAACGTCTACTAGAGAAATATAAATACGCTAGTGGTTTTACTCGTGAGAATTGGAAAACAAATTTTCTTTGTTATATTTCACTTAGTTTTACGTATAAGAAAGTATTAATCATTGATGTATTCCTCAAATGGATTTGAATTCCATCGTATCATTCTACTTATCGATTTCTTTTTCACATTAACGCACTTATTAACAAACTTATCGCTATGATTAACAATTAACATAACCTGATATATGTTTTTAATACGTTCGAATACGTTCTTTCTATTTATCCTAACCTAAATCTGAAAGATTCTGCACAAAAACTTGATATGATTTCAACCAAATGTTTGCATCTCTAAATTTCTGTCTAGCATTTCTCCAACAATTAACGTAATTTGATATATATTTTAATAGATTCTTCCTATTCAAACTTAACCTAAATCTAAAAGTTTCTGCACATATACATACATACCATTAATAGACTTTCCTTTTCATATCGAATAGAAAAATTACAAGATCACTATCACCTTTTTGTTATTTGGAAACAAATTACACGAATAAAAAGCAATACACTTATATAGCAAACGCAGTGGATAGAAATATTCGTAGGCACAACAATCGCACGCAAATGTATTTCATCATTCTATGCTTTCCGACTTTCCCTCTTTTTTGTACAAAGTGCAACATGTTCGATTGCGCGAGCATTCGATAACAGGTCGGAGAAAGAAATTAGTTTCGTTGAACTTGGAACGCAATGACAAAAGCAAGCTCGTAAGCACTATTTTACAGCCATCTTACTTTATGAACAGTATCTCGCGCGGTAATATCCGATAGTTTTCTATTTTACCAGCGAGGTGAACGTGAGCCCACGAAATTACCACAATTATATCGCGATCATTCTTTTGCTCGCCGCTTGTAAAAAGCATGTTCCCGCGAAAACTTTCCTTTTTCAACAACTTGTGGCTGGAAACTGGCTACTGGAAAATTAAACGCGCCGGTTCTCAAACATTAAGATCTTCCTCGAGATTTTATTAATTATTTGTATGGTAAAAGTTTTCGGCGTTAAGAGCAGGCGGTGAAAGTTCTTTTTGTTCTTAAACTTATTTTATTCGTGTTGTTCCCACGTGTGCTGATTAATAGGATACGCGGAGCAAAGAGAACTACTGTTTAGAAAAATGATCGTGAGAGCGTTGTATTATATTAATGTATAATATAATAAGTACTTTATTTTTTTATCCATGCAATAATTGAACCGTTTTTTTTTTTGAAAGTGGTATAAGTCCATTTTTGGAAAAAATGAGTTAATGGTAGGTTTTAGTCAGATATTCTCTTTTTATATTTATAATCACACGGTCACAAAAATTAATAAATTAATTTAAAAAAAAAAGTTGAACTGTAAAATGTTATCGCAGGAATGTTTAATAAGTCCATTCGTAATAATGATGAGATTGAGAAATAAGATTGAAATATGAATAAATTTGTTATTATTAGTTATCGTAACGAAGTAATTTACTTTTCATACTTGTTTATTTATTTATAAATTCATTATGATATAACTGAAATTATTTTTTAATAAACTCGATTATTCGTTTGTACTTAATTATTTTTTACATTAAAAAATAATTAAGTACATTTCAGAAAAGCAAACTTCAATTAAAACAAATAAATTTAAAATTTTTTATATTTTTCATAATATGTTATATATTGAAAGTGGTATAAGTCCATTTGTAGCTAAAAAATCGTTTATTTTCTTTAACATTTTTATCAATTACCATTGCATAATAAAATTTAACAAGTTTATAGTTTTAAAAACGAGTTAATTAACGTTCGCCAATATTTTTTAAGTTGATTCAAACTCTTAAATTATCTCAATGTATGAACCACTTTCAAAAACAACGGCTCCAATTATTGTTCAATTATGATACAATGAATACGACAGTCTATGACCTTGTTACACGCGTTTTTCCACGAACAAATACTTTTACATTTTACCTTTCGATATAATATAATATCCAAATTAAATCAAGTATCCAAAAATAAAAAAAAAAAAAAATAAGAGACAAAAAAATTAACAATTATTCTATTAATTAATTATTCATTCATTTCTCATCATACTCATACTTAAAAAACGCGTTACGTAAAAATCTTTTAATCTATTTCGATGAAATTCGTATTGTATTGCGAATTACATTGAGAACCCACAATTGCAATCGTTGCCTTGATCACAATTGCAACCGAATTAGCGAGCGATTCTTAGGTAAAAAAAAAAAAAAAAAAAAAGGAAGAAAAAAAAACAATCGTTACGCTTCTAAGAAGTTGAATAGGAAAACAAAGTGTTACGCGAATTTTCGCGTAGGTGCACTCCGTGAGAATTTGTTAAAAGAAGGAAAATTACTCGACGATACTATTCGTTGTTCGAGCCCGCGTACGATGAGCTAGTTGAACGAGCATACACGCCTGTTACGTGATGATAGTTTTAACGAGCTTCTCAGAATGACTCCATTAAACACATCCATTTGTTTCCTCGATACGCGAAGGGTCGAGACGAGATTCGTTTACCTTTCGAATTCGTTAAAAATCCGTCAACTTCAATTTTTTCTTTTTCCTTTTTTTGTTTAACTCGAAAAGATTTATTATAACGATTAAAAAAGAAGAACACGTATATGGGACACGTCATGTCATCGACTTGCGCAAACGTTACTTACGCGCGGGATTAATTAAAAGGAGTTAGTTAAAAAAAAAAAAAAAAAAAAAAAAAGAACCGAATATCATCGACGAGTTTTCTTCACGAGAGAATTCTTACGAATCCGCCCGAGACGAGAAATCTATCAATTATCCTTCTACGTATATATTTCGCGGTTCAATGATTTTATCGATGGCGAAAATCGTTAAGAACGGCGGCAGGACTGTATTGTATCGAGGGTGAAACCGCACGAGTGAGCAAAGCACGAGACCATGAAATCTCTGTTACGCTTTATTCGCGTATTGCGGTCCACCACGTTTGCGGGACGTCATCGTTAAAATATTCTTTAAACTTCTGGACGTAATCGAAACCTGAAATTAAATATCCCCGACGCCGCAAAAGGCTGCAAAACGCAACGCTCTTTACGCTCGGGGCAATTTTCTCGAGCGGAAATTATGAATGTCAGTGCATAGAAAGGCTTGTATATAATGGAATGCATACGTCGAGGAGAGAGAGAGAGAGAGATGATGGTGATGTCATAATCGAAACGAAAACACGGAGTGGAAATATATTTCATTTTCTGGTAAACGTAAGATAAATATCGTAATTTGTAATTTTAAGTGTCAAAGAGATGTGGCAAGGTACATCGAAATGTATCATTACGGTGATAAACGATGGTGGAAAATGTCACTATTTCAGAAAGAGATCGCCGACAAATTGTGGTTAAGTGTCCCCTTAACGTTACATTGTTCCAGAGTGTCGATAAATATGCGTGATCGATGTTGCAAACTTGTGTAATAAAATTTAGTTATCGAAGCGAAGAAAAAGGAGAAAAGTCTTATATCACGACGACGAATTATATATCGAATAACTATCCGCATGTATCTCGTTACGAGTTTCTTTTTATTTCGTTCGTAAAAATATCAATGTCGGTGGGTAAAAATATCAATATCGATGGGTAAAAATATTTCTACGACGAGGTCATTACATTGTGTAATAGATAATCATGCGATGATCTTGCTGCGCGTTACAATGTTTATTATCAATGACTCGATCTATCGAGAAATTCTCCTCTCCGCGTTTCTTGATTAATCGATTAATAAATTAAGTGTATTGACGATGTAATCATCCATGTCTGTTCTTTGTTACGTGTAGGAAATTAAATGGAAATTAAATTCTTCTAAGAAGATCGTTAACAGTTCGCGACGTTTGATCGAGAAAAAGGATTTGCATGAATTTATTTTATTATCTTAAATTTGCTATAAATTTTGAAACGTTCAATTGATTGATAATAAAGTATAGCCGAACGTACATTGGCTTGTTGCGCTAAACGCTGATTGATCCTCGTCAAAGATATTTTTATTCTCGTTGTAATTAAACCTAATTATGAAGGATGATTTTATTGGCTTTTTTTTATAATTCACGTTGCGTCGGATCGAGTAATGTGTAAATCTTTATACTTTTAAATTTTATTGAAAAACCATCTTATTTTTCCTCTGAATATTGTAAATATGGCTTAACGATTGCGCATGCTTGCGAAGGTTAAGGTTACGTATCGAAGTAGTAATAGGAAGGTTGCACATTATGTAAACTTATTCGTTGTGTACGTGTTGAGAAAATCGTGAGAACAATGCATTCCCCTGATAGAGAGCACTGATTAAACCGAGATTTGTCTCAATGAAATAAATAAACTAATTACGAATTATTACAAAATTACTACGCGTGTTTTCATTCTTATAGGTTATGTGTTTTTTACCCGTGATCCTAAATCGAATGATTGTTTTAATTCGAAATGTATATTTTACGAAACGTTTCATCAGAAATATCTCGTTTCTGAAAAAGGTGCGATGACACGAATGATTAATTCAACTTGTATCTTTTTCTTTTTTTTTTTATCGAATATCGAAAGTCAACGTGATCACTCTTCTCGTTCCTTTTCTCTTCGCGAAACGCACGAATCGTATGATTCACAAAGTGGTTTCTTTTTTTGTATCACGCGTGTCGGATAACGAGACATCACGAAAAGTACGAAACATTGACGCGAATTCGCATCGTGTAATTACGCGATCCGGATTCATCCTGTGGAGCCGGTTTGCAGCACGTGCTAAGTTTAATCAATCCAGTTAGGCCGAGAACTGGTCGTTCAATCTTCGATATTCCCGAACAAAAATTACAGAAATTCACTTTTTTTTTTTCGATCTTTGTATCTTTCGTCGATTTTAAATGATCTATTAGCCTGCAAAGAAAAAAAAGGGGGGGGGGAATGTTCTTTTTATAGCAATCATGAGAGATACTCATTGGAAAATTCGATTAAACGCGTTATTTTTTTTCTTTTTTCCTTATTATCCATCTCTTGACATTACAGGCAAGACTGCACAATGTGCATCGGTATGCGATTCAATTTTCATTCGGTATGCATTCCAAGTTAGATGCGCGCAAAAGAAACTCATTGTCGTACTAACATAATTCGCATTCGTTTTACAATTTACGCATAGCAATATCCCCCTCCCTCCCTCCTCCCCCGTTTTATTAAGATACATGTGTATCTTGTGATTATTGCGTTTTCAATTATTCATCCTCCATTCGTTTTTTCTTTCTTTCAATTCTTCGATAATGTCAAGCAAGTTTGTTAATCTAATCTACGAGAGAGAGAGAGAGAGACCATTAACTTTTCCCTAGGGTTATTCGCGTTTCGCAATGCTTTTAAGCGTAATAACTTTGTACCAAGAAAATATTTATTTTTAATTGAATTAGGAAAAAAATAAATTACACGTTGTCGCATTCGCGTGTCTCGAAAAGTTGAATTATTAAATGTAAACGCGTTTTTACGAATGAAAATAAATTTTCCAGTTTTAATACGTTTCACGATGAAAAAAAACACGCCACGTTTTTTCAACGAGATAGAATTCTGAACTCGTCTCGGTGGATTTGTTTAGTACACGTAACACGTACTAGCCTTCTGTACCTGAGGGATTCGCACGATCAGGCTCGCGTGCGACTTGCAATCAAAGTCAAGGTGAAATCTGGAAATTTCCAAACACCGCCGCTGAATCATGCCAGTGTACCAGATCTCCGTTACATAGAGATCGGAGAGATCGTCGTGTCGTGTCTCGAGAACATGACTTTCTACGACTATCATAGTTACATAGATTTATCGAAAAAGATCGAGTTTTTTTTCCCCTATCCTATTTTATTTCCTTCGTGAATTCGGTCCTTTTTTTTTTTTTTCTATTTTCCAACGAAACATTGTTTCTCGCTTGGAAAACGTTCAAATTATATCGCGATATTTGAAAGAAAATTTGAACTTTGTCTTTTATAATACACGTATATTGATACTGTACATTGTACGTTTGTCCACTGTCATGAATTAACACCTTATGTGCAAACAAAAGCGAGTCGCGATCTATCGAGAATCCTTACAATTAATTTAGAATTAACGTCTCGCTTGCTTCTCCGTCGATAAATTGAAAATCATTTTTACAGAGTGAAATTATCGAAGTGAACGATTCAAAGGTACTTTTTTAATTTTGATTAACAGGAGAAAGAAAAGTTTTCTTCTTCTTTTGAATTAAAATTCAAGCGTAAAGGATATATTTACAAGCGTATGCAACAATAATCGTGTTTATTATCGAGGAGGCCTCGTAAGCAAACGAACAAAAGATATTCACACGTGGCGAACATGGTGTTTTAATTATTTCTCGGTATGAATTATATCGAGATATATTGAACAATGTGGAAAATTTTTGCCAACCATTTATTCGTACGTAAGAGGACACGATGTATCAGCAAATTTCACAATAATTGCATAATCACTTCTCTCGAAGGATTCGTCTAAACATACGTACGTATGTATATACGTATAAATTAATTACGTGTCGAATAAACAGATTATGAATCACACTTCTTCTTTTTTTTTTTTTTTTTTTCACTGGAATCACAATGCATATTCAACCGATTTTACCGATATTCACGTTTGCTAAATTTCCAACCTCTTTACTTTATGTGAAAATGTCACGCACCGATATAGTAATAATTTATATTCCTTTAGAATGAATGGTCTCTTAATTATCATACTGTGTGTGATTTAGGAATCGTTTCTCAAAACATTATAATTATTTCCCGCGTTAAGTTATTTCACAAATATATTTATCAATGCTTCCAAAACCAGGCTTCTAGACTGTTGTTGATCTTGAAATTGATATGTCTCGAAATTGTGCGAATGTTACATTAACGCCACCTTCATCATCAGCTTTGTCTACAATATCGATAAGAATATTTTCTGTCCAGGATATAAAAGAATATAGAGAGATTGTTTCTTCTCAACAATCATCATTTAACAATGACTTAAAATTTTTAATATTCATCGAAAAGACATCGTAAATATTCAAAATAAAAATTCCAAAGCTCATTCTCTTTATCCAAAATCTCGTTAATACTTTCGATCTAATTTTTTCACGTACGAAAATTATTCTCTCTTTCACTTATAATTACAATTATAATTAATACAGAACAAACTGAAAAATTATAATCACAGAAACGGATTCAATCTAGATTATCGTCGTATCTCTAATATAAATTTTGTGTGTGTGTGTGTGTCTACAATAAGAATACCTCTTATATAATATTTCTCGTCAAAAATCATGATTCAACGATGGCTAAAATTTTTAACACTCATTCGGTGATCGAAAAGACGTTTATAAATAATTCAAAAAATAAAAATTCTCTTCCTAATTTTTCCACACACGTGACAGCAACTCTCACTCTTTCTTTCAATCGTATCCCACGTATATATATATACACGTTTTAAATTGCAAAATCGTTCAAATTCCTGTCACGGAGAAGCAAGCAAATGATACAACAATATGGAAAAATATGGTGACGTGTACAACTGGAATGACTCAAAAATTACAATGTGTTACCATAGAAACGGATTTAGAATCAGGATTTTGCTCACGATTAAATCTATCCTGAACGTCCTCGTCATCCTTTACGCTCGCTGATGCGTGACGTTGCGACCTCTCCGTTTCACCGACTCCTTCCGGAAAAACGGTCGAGACATTCATAATACCGGTCGATTTGTAAAACTGAAAACAAAAGCAGCACGGAACCGTGATTCTCAATTAATCAATTGTAACATCGTCGTATTCGTTTCGAAACTTTTCGACTCGAATCCACTCGGAATGCGGTTGGATGGATTCCTCTTCGTTCTTTCGCGAATTAAATTAAAAATTAATTTGAACTCTTCGTTCGCTTTTACGTACGTACGTTCATCATATTATTCCTCGTTGCACGCGCACAATTAATAAATAAATTATCGACGGAGGGACGGACACGTTCACGCGTCTGTCGCCCGATCATCTTTGCCCGGATCTTTGTTTCCGGATCTTATTAGCGGCGTTGCCAATAATTCCACGCTTAAATTCTATTAGCACGCTGGTTGATAACATTGGTTAGCGTTACTTTCCTATATAGAGGGAGCAATATTTGTCAAAGGACGCTTGTTGGCGTTGGTTTAAAAATAGTATGGGCAAAGCACGAGTGCTGGGGTGGAAAACAAGGCGGATAAAATCGATCTCTGCTTATTAAAATTTCTAATCAGGAAATCGATCCTATTCTTTCACGAAGCAAGGATAAACAATAAATAATTTTTATTATCACTGGTCTCGTTTGAACTCGTTCGATACTCGTTCTATAAATAATGTAAAAACAGTTTTATCAACTCTGGAAACTATCCAACCTCCTCTCTAGAAACTTCTCAAGTGTACGTATTTTTATTACGAGATCTTCCTTTTATTCGAGACGCTCCCCCGTTCGACAAGTTGTATCCACCAAGTTTTCCAAGTTTACAAAAATTATTTCTTCGAGTCAGTAAAAAAAAAAAGCCTTCATCCTTGGTTTCGAAAGAGCGGAGGTGGATCACTCACAGGATTTCGCGGCGAACGCTTGGGCTGGATGCTCAAGAACTCGTGCCAGAGACGCAGATAGGAAGGCCGATTGCTTACTGAACGTTGCATCCCCCTGCCGACTCGTAACACACCTCCGATTCCCTTAACCCTCGGCCGACCATAAACCCCCGCCGCTGCGCACTTCCACGAAACACGAAGATCGAGCGAAATTCTATGGGGAGGATAGGACGTGATACTTGAAACGAGTCCGCGCCTCGACTACCACCCCTGTGCGAGATGTGTAGCGTGACCGAGATCTCGATCTCGCCCTTGAAAACGCCAACAATTGCGTGACGCAGAGATGGTCAGTGAAGAACAGAGAACGCGATCAATTCCCTCTGCTCTTCCTCTGTATTACACGAATCCACGTGCAATTGCGAGTGGAACCCGCTTTTGTCGTCTCTTCATAAACGAAAAAAGAAAAAAAAAAAGAACGAGTCGCTCGATTTATTACGAAAGTTTCTCTAATGAGATGGACGCCATGTTAAGATAACACCGTTCCTGCTCGATCGGTAATATATACATGTATGTATCTTTGATTATATTCAAGACTAATTATTATACATACTGCCAGACTAATTCCAACCTCGGTGGTGATAAGAGTTTGAAGGTCGGATTATCTAGTCTTGGACTTCTCCGGACTTCCGGTCATCGTCTGCAACGTGGTAGATCTTACCGGCCGATACCCGTATTTGCATGTTCGTCGAAAACGTTCGTCTCTTTCGCAAAGGTGGGACGCCGTTTCGATTTCGAAAGAGGAGAGAAAAACGAGTGAAAAAAGAAAGAACGTGTGTTATATTCGTTCGACGCGAATCAATTGTTGCAACATTTTTTCCTATGCCCTATATCGTATCTAAGCCGTTAACTGATATTACAACGCGATGGCGAGCTCGCGTGCAGATAAAACCGCGACAATTAGCATACGTGAGGTCAGTCGATGGATTATCGGACGGGAAGGAGGCGCGATGGGACGTCACACCTGCAGTGTCTTGGACGCCTCGTTGTGGCGGTATGCACCAAATGTCCGTTCCACGGATATAAAATATCTGGTAAATTTATTTAATTTATCTTATTTTATATAAGGTTTTTGCAGGTTTCGAAAACTGTTACATTTCTACGAGGTTGCTGTTTACGTGTCTTTTTCTCGTGGTCGAAATTTATTTATCTCGACTTTTTGGCGAATCTCGTTACATGGATGTAAATAAGAGCGTGCAAGGTAAATTAGAAGCTCGATCAGAAATACGCATTTCGACGAGAGGTGTCTTGGAAGTGGTCGATAGATTTGTGAAAAAAATGTTTCGCCATTGAGATACGTATAAATATAGTACAATATAGATAATATATACAACGACGATACGTGCATACAGAGAGAGAAATTTGCATCACGCAAGTTATTTACAATGAGATATGTGAACGATCGCAGGTACGCTATGCATCCGGTTGATATTGACGTACACTCACTTTTACACGGTATTATTATTTCCTCTATCGCGATGTGCACGCGTGGGACAAAAGAAGAGAGAGAGAGAGAGAGAGAGAGAGAGAGAGAGAGAGAGAGAGAGAGAGAGAGAGAGAGAGAAGAAGTAAGTAAGTAGTACGTACGTACGTAC